AGGCTGCAGTGGCCGGGAGTGGCCACTGCACTCCAGTCTGGGCGACCCAGTGAGGCTCCAACTCAAAAAAAAATTAAAATTAAACACTTTTTTCTTTCAAAAGAAAAAAGTCAAAGCCTTTCTCAAAAAACATTTTCATGTAATATAATTTTCACCAAGCTTGTTTCAGATCAGTGATTCCCAGTTCTGATTCGGTATACCAAAATATTTCTAGTTTTATCAAAGACTATCTTAAAATTCCCCAATCAAAAGTAATTTTAATTTACCTTAAGCTTTAAAAATAGAGGTGGAAGGAAGAAAGGAATGATTATATAAAACAAATAACAGGCTTTGCCTAGTTTTTGGTAACCATGTATTCTGCTGAAATCTATTGTTCTAAATAATGAGGTATAAATATAAAAGCAATAAATTATTTTTTTTTTCTTATTGAGGCTATGAAAGAATTTCAATGAATCTAACTATTTGGCCAAAAACAAGAAATACATTTTAGGTTTTAAACAAATAGGACTACATGAGAACTACTCACAAAAAGACTTCTGCTAAGCATGGTGGCTCACGCCTCTAATCCCAGCACTTTGGGAGGTGGAGGTGAGAGGATTGACTGAGCCTAGGTATTCTAGACCAGCCTGGCAGCTTAGTGAGACCTAGTCTCTACCATAAATCAAAAAATTAGCCAGGCGTGGTGGCACGCACTTGTAGTTCCAGCTACTTGGAAGGTTGAGGTAGAAGGATTGCTTAAGCCCAGCAGGTCGAACCTGCAGTGGCCATACTCTAACCTGGGCAAGAGTGAGAATCCAACTCAAATTAAAAAAAAAAAACAAAGACTTTAAAAAATACCTTAGACCTACAATAAACAAAAAATTAGCCGAGCATGGTAGCACGCACCTGTAGTTCTGGCTACTTTGGAAGGCTGAGGCAGAAGGACCACCAGAGCCCAGTAGGTCGACCCTGGGGTGGCTGTAAGTGTGCCACTGCACTCCAGCCTAGGGGACAGAGTGAGACTCCAACTCAAAAAGGAAAAAAAAAATTACCTTAGCCAGTTGTTTGTTTGTTTATTTATTTGAATTGGGGTCTCAATCCACCTCGCAGGCTGAAGCACAGCAGCATGATCACAGTTCACTGCAGCCTCCTGGACTCAGGGGATCCTTCTGCCTCAGCCTCCCAAACAGCTATGATTACAGGCATGTGCCATTACACCCAGCTAATTATTATTATTAATTTTTTTGTAGACGCAAGGTCTCACTATCTTGCCTAGGATTGTTTCAAACTCCTGGGTTCAAACAATCATCTCACCTCAGCCTCCCAAAGTGCTGGGACAGGACTTAGCCAGTAATTTTAATGCTAAAATACAAACTGTAATGATTTTAACGAACTGCCACAATAACCACTCTCTACCAAATAAGACAGATAATTTTAGTTTTATCATAAGACTTCTGCAAAAAGTCAATGATTTTCTTGACTGCTAAAATACAGAAATAATTCTACATTATTAAAATGAATCAAATTGCAACCTCATTACCATCCACTTACAGATGGCTGCACCCCCAATCTGGAAAAGTAATGGTACACTCCCAAAATGCTAAAAAAATTATTCTTCCACTGTATTACTACATGAACAGATAGTGAAATTTATGCCTCTGATTTACTGTATAAATCACACACTGAGTTTGTTTCCTAAAAAAAAATCGTACTTGCAAATGGAGGATATGGTGGACCTGGGAAATCCCTTCGTGGAAAATAGTCTCCAGAAGCTCCATACATGTTTACTGGTGGAGGAAAAGGAGGTCCTCTTCTCAAGAACGGGCCCCTTGGATCCAGTGGAAATAATGGACCTCTGATTGGAGGACGAGGTGGAGGAACAAAGCCAGGGCCAGTTGCTTCATTTTCAGCAGGGAGAGATGAATCCGGCACATTTGAATTCTGTAACAAATTGACATATGGCAGTCACTACAAGAGGGAAAAACTGCAGTAGTTTTCCTGAAAATCTCAGGCTTAAAAGACAGCAGCTAGGTAGAACATAGTCCATGATATTTTAGAAAGCTCCAGGGAAAAATTTAAACAGTATTCCACACTAGCATACTAGCATATCAGCTATCACATTTTAGCTATCACAAATATTTTACTAAATCGACAGAAACAATGTTAGCCAACAAAATAATATTATGGGTAAAAAAACAAAAGTATAGCCTGAGAGTTCATATTTTTTAGCAAGCATATACTAAGAAAAAAGGGAAGATGTTTATTATTTCAGAGGTGACCAAAATCAATACTGTAAATGTAATAAACAAAAATATACTTTGGCCGAGCTCAGTAGCTCAGCCTATAATCCCAGCACTTTGGGAGGCTTAGGCGGGTGGATTGCCTGAGCCCGCAGGTTCAAGACCCAACCCCGGGCAACTTGGCAAGACGTCTCTACAATACATCAAAAATTAGCCAGGCGTGGTAGCGTGCACCTCCAGTTCTGACTACTTGGAAGGCTGAGGCGGAAGGATTGTCGGAGCCCAGCAGAATGAAGCTGTAGTGGCCAGGAGCGTGCCACCGCACTCCAGCCTGGGTGCCAGAGTGAGCTCCAACTCAAAAAAAAAAAGTATGTATATATATATATAAACATTCAAATAAAAATCCAAAGTAGGCAATCTAAAATCTTGTTTAACTAGTAAGCTAACTCAAAGCCTTAGTCTACAAATTGTACTTTACCACCATAGGTACAATCCAGAAAATAAAAAGTTTTAATGCTAAGTAGGAGGCACATTTGTCAAGATGAGAAGCAGTTTTATAATAAAAACTATATTACTAGCTATATTTCTTTTCTATTAACCAAGAGATTAAAAGGCTCTTGAATACATGGATAAAATTCCACTTTCAAGACTTACAAGATCATCTCTGGTATCACTTCTACTGGATTCCATATCTGAAGACACTGGCCCATCTAGACACAAAAATTAAACCATAAAAATACATAATTTATCACTTCACTCCCAGAATATTTCCAGGACATTGATATTTTCTCATTCCCCTGATGGCACATACACCTCAGCTAGTTCCCAGGCAAACCTGCTCCAGCAGCATCTTAAAAAGGTATCTGGGAGAAAGCACCTCTCAACTTCCTTCTATTTTCTTTTCTCCCTTCCTCCTTTCCTTTCTCCCTCCCATTCTCCCTTCCTTCCTCCCTCCCTTCCTTCCTATTCCTCCATCAAGTAAGACACACAAGCCATTTGAATTCAGCCACTGTACCTAAATAAATGTTCCTAAACTTTGTTATTAATATTATCGAGAACAGCTTGTCCTCTGTGGATCTAAATTCAAACAACCCTCTCTCTGACCACCTCTCCTCTTCAAGTCTCCCCATTTAGTTACTCTCACTACATTTGTCCTTGGATGTCACTGACGCTTCCAGTTCTCTGACCTAACTTTCAGTTTCCTCCTTTCTCCACTTTCTTCCCTCATTAACGAGACTCCAAAGTTCATCACTTCAGCAAGTCATCAATATCCTTGTCCTATTGGTCGTTTTTCACTTGTACTCGGCAACATTCAAAGTCTACATTAATCCAAATATGTTTCCACTCTGCATCTACCTGAGTCACTTACTATTGCTGGAAAGTTTAAAAAAAAAGAGTCCTGCAGACTGAAGTCTGGGATCTCTACCATGCTCCTTAGCTACATACTGCCTGGCCTTCCATCTGTGTCTTGTAAACTAGCTTCGTCTTTGGCTATTTCAAACCCCTTCAAACCTACTACCCCATTTACTTTTTGTGATCAAACATATCAATGTACTAAAACTATATTCCTAAGATCTTCCCCCCAATTACCATGGAAAAGAATCCTTCTAGACAATTTATGGTCCTGATCCCATGCTCAGAACCCCTCTAGTCCCGCTTCTTTGGGGACCTTCCTCCCTCTATTGGCTCTGCCATCTTTTTCTGCCAAATCCAAGTCTCTCCTGACTATTTAAACATGAGAAAGAAAAATAGAGTCCCATTTCAGCTACCTCTCTCCTTTACAATAAGAACTGTATGAGGAGGGGACCCAAAAAAACCTGGAATTATCTTTTGGAGAGCAGGCCCCTTGTGGTATTCCTCCAGATCAGTCAACCAAAGTTTTTTCGGAAAGTTTTGAGAAGACTGCATCACAATTTGTGGAAGAAACATCCCAAGTTGTGGCAAACAGGTGACTGGTTCTTCCACCATGACATTGCACCTACACTGAGTGGTCAGCAGTTTTTGACCAAATATGGCATAACCTCCATTCCCCACCCTCCCTGTTCACCCGATCTTGCCACAAGAGACTTTTTTTTTTAATTTCCCTAGATGAAAAAGGTTCTCAAAAAGAAATGTTGTGCTAACGTGGAAGAGGTAAAACAAAAACAGCAGAAGCACTAAAAGGCATCAAAACTGACGAGTCCAAAACTGTTTTATGCAATTGAAAAAGTGTCTCGACAGATGTACTGTATCAAACAGAGTACTTTGAAGGTGACTGAAGTTTAAACATGTAAGAATAAACACACAATTTTTAATAAATAAACTGTGGAGTTTTTTGGGGTCCCCTTCATATATATTGATTGGAATTCTTTCCATTTTCCCTCATTTTACCGCAATCAATTTGAAAACTTCACTATCCCACTGAAATTATCTTCCCCAAGGTCAAACAACACTTTTTATTTGCTAAATTAAAATAAATACTTTTAGTCCTTATTTTACATTACTGTCCACCCTTGCTAACCACTCCCCTCTTCTTGAAATGCTCTCAGGCTTTGATTTTCATAATAGGACCGTTCCTTCTCTCCAGTCCTCCTTTCTAGCTGCTGCTTTTCAGTCTCTTTGTTGGGGTCTACTACCTCTAACCACCCAGAGTTCCAATATTGGCTCTATTCTCTTTTCATTCTCTCCTTGAGAAATCTCATCTACTACTGTAGCTTTAATTAGATATATACTACTACTGACTCCCTATCTATAATTCAGATACAGATATTATCCCCAGGACTTCAAAGGTTTTGGGGCCTCATTTTCTTTATCTATAAAATGAAGATAAAATATCTACTTCAGAAGCTCATTAGATTAGTTAATTCATTCAATAAATGTTGGCCCTGCACAGTGGCTACCACCTGTAATCCCAGCACATTGGGAGGTGGAGGCGAGAGGATTGCCTGAGCCCAGGAGTTCGAGACTAGCCAGAGTAACTTGGTGAGGCCTCATGTCTACAATAAACAAAAAGAATTAGCCAGGTGTGGTGGTGTGCACCTGTGGTTCCAGCGACTTGGAATGGTGAGGCAAAAGGCTCACCTGAACCTAGCAGGCTGAGGCTGTAGTGGTCATGAGCATGCCACTGCACTCCAGCCTGGGCGACAGAGTGAGGCTCTGACTCATAAATAAATGAATAAATATTTACTAAGTACTAGTGCTAATTAGTATGTTTCAACCATATATCTCTTCTTTCTCCTTCATGTACTGATATAAGCTGACAAACTAACCTATAAGAGAATAAACTGATATATATATATATGTACATATACTGATGAACTATTAATAACATTTTTATATATATTCAAAACTATTTACAAAACACCTACCCACATTCACTCATGAAATCCTCAAAACAACCTTGTCAACTGATAAATATCTGCTTTATAGTCATTATCCATCACTGGTTTGTGCCAACTCTTATGCTCACTTAATTTTTTGAAATTTCTTCAAAAGCAACCCAAATGTTCCCTTCTTCACAGAGTTTTTCCTCATTCTTCAACTAGACAGGTTGTCTTCCTTTCTCTGAAACATACCATCTCGCTAATGGGACTTATTACTCTGACCAGTATTAGTTAAGCATATGTATGTCTGTCTTCCCTATTTAATTTTTAGCTTCTCACAGGCAAAGACTATACCTTACCATAATTATATTCTATACATGTCATGCAAGATACCCTGTCAACAATAAGTTCTTAAAAATTATTTGGTAAATTAGATATTGCTCAAATAGCAGGAAAAAAATGGAGAAATGTTAAAAATTTTAAACAACATTAGTTTAGAAATGGATGTTTAACCACACACACACTTTCATTCCATTAAGCTTGAACTTCATGGGGAAAAAAATTTTTTTTAAGCCAAACAGAAAGAATTAACTTAATTATAACTAACTTAGAAAGAAATCCAGTGGGTCTGCTTCTTTGATTGTTATTTTTAAAATACTGATTTTTTAAAAATTATAATAATCTCAACTGGATAATATTCCCCTCCCAAATATATGTTCTTTCCTGAGAAAACCTCTTACAAAAAGACAACACTTTTTTATTTTCTTAATGCTGTATACTTGATTAATATGCTGGATACATATATTTCCCAACTTCAGTGGATTATTATGAGGTCATTTAAGAGTGCCTGACAAATAGTAGATTGCTCAGTAAAGGTTAGTCAAATCTTTCTAAATGTGAAATGTTTAAAAAAGGAAACTGATTAAACTGTCAACAGAGCATGCATCTAAATTATTTTTTCTGGTAGATTTTCATACATTCACATTTGCTTGCCTGATTTCCCTGATTACTAAATAGGACATATGTAAGTGGACTGAAAAAAATTAGAAAATTAGTCATGGACCAAAGTAAAGTTTACCACCATAGGTATATATAGTAAATCTATCACCATGGTGCTCAAACCAACCACCAAAGTATATTTAGATGCCAGGTCTGTGTACAACACAAGAAACATAAAACCAGGATGTTCTGAAGAAAGAGATCTGGCCTCAAGATCTACCTGAGATAGTAATTATATTAAGTCCCTATTTTAGCTTCCGGAAGAAAAGAAGGAAGGAAGGGAAGGAGGGAAGAAGGGAGGGTATTTTTACCCATTTTATCCAAAGAAGGCATATTAAAACTTCTGAGCTCTGCTGGTCCAGATAGTCTGCCAGAATTAGAATAAAATCTGTCTTGTCTTTGTGGAGGAAGAGTTGCATCAGGATATGGCTGGCCTAGAAAACAAGTTTTTAAAATATCTTCACTAATACAAACATAAATCAAGTCTACTAAAGTTTAATATATAGAATGTAGGCATTTTTCCTGTTTCCAAAAACTGTTACCCAGTTGGATTACAATAGAAAACAATTTCAGAAAAACTGCATATTTTACTATAGGCAGTAATTTTGCTTTTATAGTAAACACAAGTATAATTTGCTACTTTGTTTTGTTTTTTTCATTTTTGAACTGTGGTCTTCACTCTGCCGCCCAGGCTGGAATGCACTAATACAATCACAGCTCACTGCACAGCCTCGACCTCCTGGGCTCAAGTGATCCTTCTGACGGGTGTGCACCACCATGCCTGGCTAATTTTTTATTTTTTGTAGAGACGAGGTCTTGCTATGTTTCCTACACTGGTCTTGAGCACCTGAGCTCAAGCAATCCTCCCGTCACAGCCCCCCAAAATGCTAGGGTTAAAAGAATAAGCCATCATCCAAAATTTGCTATTTTGGATTTTGAAAGTTTTAATTACTATGTATAAATCAGAATACATGAAAACATAATTTAGTTATGCATATCTACATACATAAAGTCATTTAACTTTCAATTGTAATAATAATGAAAAAAAGTGGATACATCAATACATCAAAAAAGACTGAGGAAAATTGCTACTGATATAAGAAACAAACAAAAAAATCCAGAAAATGTTATAGGCAGAACAAGAAATTTAGCAGAAAAGGCAATAATCTGTCACCAAAGCAAAAAAGAGTATCGCTCAGAGGTTATCAGTAGTCAACCTTTCAGTAACATCAACATTTTGTAATTTAGCATTCATTTCAAGCCAAAGAGAATGACCTCTGACTCAACAGTTGCATAAAAGGTTCCCACTGATGAAACTGATGACATCCGGATAGTCACAAATTTGGACACAGACTGACTCAGGTGCTTCTACAGCCACTCTCACTCTCCTTTGTCTTCAGGAGTGATTTATGGTGACAAAATGGTAATTCCTAGGTCCTTACAAAATGGTAAAAAATAGATCATCTATCTCATCCTTGAGAAGTGATGGTAGACTTTACTAGATTGGTTATGCAAACATCCAACTCCAAAAATATGGAGAATATTAAAGAAGGTGAATTGTGTGACTCTTCCCCATCCTATTACAGATATGGACAAACAGCCCCAAACTGCTTTTCATGACTGTTCTAGGCAGTGGTTCACAATGTGAACTTCATAGAATCAATGTTGGATATGTCACTTTTTATGGGACCTTACTGACACACCTCTCACACACAAAGTCAAGGAAACCACCTGGCATCAACCAGAATCTATTGAAAGAATTATATTTAACAAGCTCCCAACAGTCAGGAGACACCTCAAGGAAAGATATGGATAGTCTTGAAGGTTCATGTAGACGCCCTTTGAGAATCTTAGCAAAGAGTTATCTCAACAGGTCTGAACTGCCCCAGAAAAGGCCAGTACCAGCCACTGAGATGTAAACTGAGTTCTCCCTTTCTAATTCCAATACAGAATTAATTAAATGACAGATTTGGACACAGGATGAAATGGGAAAACCTGACAACTTTTGCTGTTTCTTAATCAGATCTCAAGATATCATGTCATTATTTTCCTGCCAAAATACATCCCACAACATCAGCCACCCCAGAAATCTTTTTAAAATTGTTTCAAGTTTACTATTCTATACATTGTATGACCATGTTGCCCTCCACTGGCAAAAGTAATTCATTCCTTAAAGTTACTAGGGGTAACTCTCTTTTGGGTCCCTTCCTGCTGCTGGGAGCTTTCCTATCTTCTAATAAATTCCTACTTACCAAAAAAAAAAAGCTACCAGGGCCTATTATGTGCCAGGCATGAGCAATACAATGTTGGTCTCAAAACAGTCTGTGCCTTTATAGACTAATGGCAATAGAAACAAGTACATACAGTATGATTAATGTCTTAATAAAGGAAAATACAAATAATAAAAGAGGAGGATTATATAATTCTGGCTGGAGGAATCAGAAATGGTATCAAAGAGGCAATAAAAGTTGCCCTCAAAGAAAAGTAAAGATGAACAAGTAAACAAGAGTATTCTGGTCAAACTCATATATATTCAAAAGACAGATAATGAGAAAGAAAGCGAGAGACACACACTATACACACACCCACATGGGTGTGTGTGCACACCCACACACATAAGATAAAGCTACATGGAAGGCAAATGATCACTGAAAGCATGAACTGAAATATAGAATGTAAGAACTTTCTTTGTTTTTTGCTCTCATACTTTTATTTTTTACTTACCCCTAGGAGAGTGGAAAAACAAAATGAATAAGGGGTAGGAATAAGTATAAAGGAAATTCTGAAGCAGTTTCACAAACTAAGAATTGTACTGTACAAATAGCTACTCATATATACTTCATTCATAGCAACTCTTGAGGACAATGGGGCAATAGCTATTAAAACCAAAAATATGAATTCCTATTACCCAGCAAATCTATTTCCTGGACTTATCTTTAAAAAAACTTATATACAAAAAAGGTGTTGACCACAGCATTGTTAATAACTGTGAAAAACTGGAAACATTCTAAATGCTCAACAGAAATTGGATAAATATATTGTGATATATTGTATATTGAAATACTATAGAGCAAGTAAGGTAATAAACTTCATATTAACATGGAAAGAGCTCGAGAACATAATGCTGATAAAGAACACTGATGTAACAGAAATGTAATTTTTAAAAAAATCATGTATAGACTAAAACTTTACACATACTAAACTCATAAGTAAATACTAATGCTTCCAGAAAAGGAAGGAAAGTAATATGCTCAAGCAAGGAAATGGAACAGTCTTCAACTCAATTATATAGTGGCCTATTTCTTTTTATGTTTTTCTTACACATTGCACATACATACACATTCACATATCTGAAGCAAATGTCAGTATGTAAATTCTGGGGGTAATGCATAGAATTTTGCTACATCTCACTTTGTGTTCAGCAAGTTACCCCCAACCTCTCTGTGCTTTTGTTTCTTCATCTGTAAAATGGGAATAACAGAATAACATTCTTAGAATGTTAGAATGATTAATACAAATCACTGAACATATCTGGCACAAAGTAAGGACCCAAAGGTAAATGTAATGATTTATTAAGATTATTGTTATGATTATAAATTATTTTTAAAATATAGTGTTGACTGATCTCATTCAAATACATGGCCATAAATTTCAAACTGATGCTCAACAATGCCTTTATAAACTTAATGCACTTCAATAATTTTGAGTTCAACTCTCCTAAATGGCTACTACATAACTTTTTCTTTTTTCTATTTTTTTTTTTTTTGAGTCAGGGTCTCACTCTGCTGCCCAGGCTGGAGGGCAGTGCACAATTACAGCTCTCACAGCTCACCATAGCCTCCAATTCCTGGGCTCAAGCAATTCCCCTGTATCAGCCTCCAGAGTAGCTGAGAATACAGTCATGCACCACCACACCCAGCTAATTTTTTTTGCTTTTTGTTTTTGGTAGAGATGAGGTCTTGCTATGCTGCCAATCATGTGCATACCTTTTTCTATCTCTTCAAATCTGACAGCTCTCTCCTCTCCCTTCTCCCTCAGTTGATAATCTTACCACATGAAGAAAACTGAAGCAACTGAATATCTCCACTTACCCTCACCCAATCTCTACATCTACTCACTTGCTCTACCTTCCTTCTTTTTACAATGGATCACTTTATGATCCAGTTCCAGTAATTTCTACAATTATTCTCTAGATTCTATCCTTTTTGCTTAATACACAAGGGTTTCACTTTTACAGCTATGCCTCTCCTATACATCATATATTTCTCTTTCTATTCTGAGTTATTCCCATCAGCAAATAAACATGTAATATTACCCACTTTAAAAGACAAAACACCTTTCCTTTCAGAAACCATCTCATCTTTCTTTTGCTTTCAAAGCAAAATTTGTTCTTACATTCTAATAACCTCTCCTCGACCTGCTCTCTTCAGGAAGACTGACAAATTAAACACAGATTTTTTAAAGTTTATATAAACATGCATAGCAGCAACCTATCAACCAAACACTAATCGGAATTTTTAAAGGATCGCTGTACAAGAAGATATAAGTGATTAAGAGATATATATTCTCAAAAAAGTGGCAGCCTAAAAATGTAGAACCAAGTTTAAAGTAAGTGCCATCTTCTAAAAGAATAAAAGCATATATGAAGATTTTAGAACACCTTAATTAAGTTTCTGGTGATTCCAAAATCTCATCAAGGAGATCAAAATGAGTCTAATTTAAGTCAAACTATAATCCCAGCAAATGAATCTTGCCTGAAAAATGTTTGCAACAGAGAGGGACAATATTGTGCAAAAATGTCTACAAATCAGAGCCAGTAAAGCAAAAGTCTATGCCCGTGTTTCTAAAGGTATCCAAGATATTTTGATCTGCTTAGCATGTTTTGGTTTCTCAAAGAGTTAAAACTGCCCCCAACAAACTAGCTGTGTAGTATACAAGAAGGGACCCCAAAAAATGGAATTTATTTATTTAAAAATTGTGAATTTATTCTTACATGTTTAAACTTCAGTCATCTTCAAAGTACTCTCCATTTAATACAATATATCTATCAAGATGCTTTTTCCACTACTCAAAACAGTTTTTGAACTTGTTAATTTTGATGCCTTTTATGCTTCTGGCATTTTTTGTTTCACCTTTTCCACACTGGCAAGAACATTGCCTGAGGACTTTCTTCATGAGGAAACAACAAAAAAGTTGCTTGGGGCGAGATTGGGAGGGTGGAACACAGGGGTCATGCCATTTTTGGTCAAAAACTGCTAAATACTCAGCACAGTGTGGGCAGGTGCACTCGTAAATCACCCATCATAAAATGGGCAAAAGCACGGAAAGAATCTTCAGAAAAAAAATTCACTGAAGACGAATACAGTCTCTCACAACTCCAGCTGGTACACTAGTGCTTATGGGTTCCTAGAACACTGACCTGTACTACAAAATA